AAGAAGTGTTTCCATGTTATCTCCTACACAACTGTGTCAACAATTCCACCAGCTGGCACCATTTGGCTTTTTATTTACATTTGTCCTGGGTTAACCTAGGTCTGGGGTTCCCAAACTGTGGTCAGCAGGCTTCATTCAGGTGGTCCTAAGCAGATCTGTAAAAAATACAATTAAAATCATACATCTAGCATAGCACATTACAATTGCTACCAAAGGCAGAAGAATTAGTAAGTGGTCCACCAAGACCCTCAGCAATTTTCAAGAGGTCCATGGGGAACAAAAGTTCGGGCATCACTGATCTAGGAGGCTCTGGTGTTAAATATTAATATTCTGAGGAATATTATTAATATTATGCAGATTCCGAGTGTTAATTTCTACCATGTTTGGGGCAGGACACCTGGATCTGATATTTTGCACTGATTTAAAATAATCCCAATAGGTAGAACAGGTAAAGGACCCCTGGATGGTTAGGTCCAGTCAAAGGCGACTATGGGTTTGTGGCACTCATTTCACTTTCAGGCCAAGGGAGCCGGCATTTGTCCACAGACAGCTTTCCGGGTCATGTGGCCAGCAGGACTAAACTGCTTCTGGCGCAACAGAACACCGTGACAGAAACCAGAGTACACAGAAATGCCGTTTACCTTCCCACCAAGGCGGAACCTATTTATCTGCTTGCACTGAAGTGCTTTCAAACTGCTAGGTTGGCAGGAGTTGGGACTGAACAACGGGAACTCACCGCATCGTGGGGATTCGAACCGCCAACCTTCTGATTGGCAAGTCTAAGAGGCTCAGTGGTTTAGACCATAGTGCCACCCATGTCCCTATATAATCCCAATATACTGTATTTTTCGCCCTATAGGACACACTTTTTCCCCTCCAAAAATGAAGGGGAAATGTGTGTGCGTCCTATGGGGCGAATGCAGGCTTTCACTGAAGCCTGGAGAGCGAGAGGGGTCGGTGCGCACCGACCCCTCTTGCTCTCCAGGCTTCAGGAAGCTATCTGCAAGCCGTGGGAGAGCTGCACCCCGAAGCCTGGGGGTGCGCTGAGCTCAGCGCCCCCCAGGCTTCGGGCTTCGCGCAGCACTCTGCAAGCCGTGGGAGGGCTGCGTGAAGTCGCGCAGCTCTCCCTTGGCTTGCAGAGAGCTGCCTGTTCTGGGAGCTGGGGTCAGGGAAGCTCGGGCTTCCCGCCCCAGCCCCACGCCTGGGGGGGGAAAATAATTTTTAGGTGAGCCCTATGGGCTGGTGTGCCCTATGGGCCGAAAAATACGGTAAGTGGTATGAAAATGACAGAAATGACATAGTTAGATAATTACTCTTTGAAGGTTAATATATGCCCCTAGTGACCTGCTTGGTTCTTCTCCAGAAGACTTATTATATCTGCTGACATTAGGGAGAATTCTTCGAAGGTTACAAAGAATTCCTGGATTCAACCCCAGTCCAACTAACTCATATTGTAAGATCTGGTTCCCCCTTTCGCTGGCAGGGTTGTAAGGTACAGCCTGGAAAATGGGAAAGGAAGTGTTGTTATCCTTTTCCCCACCTAAAACCTACTTGTCGAGACAGAAAATTTTAAACCTCATAAGATACTAAGGTGTTAGCGGTTCAAACAATTCTCTTTTGATCCCACTCCCCTATGTCCCCCCCCCCCCACAGTCCATGACATTCCACAGGTCTCAGAAGCTCACAGGTCAGGTCATTTGGGACATTTAAAAATATTTTTCTTTTTAATTTAAAAACTAATATACTTCTGCATACCAGGGGAATTCTCCTGAGTATGAAGAAACCGCTATCTTATTTCTGTTTCATTTTCAAACTATTAGGTACTGGGCCACCCAGGTTTGGCATCACAGGAAATTAGATTCTAATAACTATAAAATACTAGTGATACATGTCAAGTAGTCACACATATCCTGTACACAATACATTGACCCATTAGATGGTTTGTAACAGAAGCGATTCAGTATATAGAATCCATCAACTGGCCAGAAGCAGAGGTTTTCCTGAGGAATAAATAAATATGGTGTGAAACATGGAATGAGAGTTTGTCACTAAATGACACCTCTTTGTTCCAGACCCTTTCTTAGCTGGAATTTGTTTTTTTATTGTTTAGCCATTACAAAAACCTTAGAAAAACGTTTATTAAAATAATATCAAGCAATGAACTACATTAAGATATACTGCTTGTGAAAAAATGCTGCATAAAGGTAAAGGGACCCCTGACCATTAGGCCCAGTCGTGGACAACTCTGGGGTTGCGGTGCTCATCTCGCTTTATTGGCTGAGGGAGCCGGCGTACAGCTTCCGGGTCATGTGGCCAGCATGACTAAGCTGCTTCTGGCAAACCAGAGCAGCACACAGAAACGCCGTTTACCTTCCCGCTGGAGCGGTACCTATTTATCTACTTGCACTTTGATGTGCTTTTGAACTGCTAGGTTGGCAGGAGCTGGGACCGAGCAACGGGAGCTCACCCCGTTGCGGGGATTCGAACAGCCAACCTTCTGATTGGCAAGGCCTGAGCTCTGTGGTTTAACCCACAGCAATGAACTACATTAAGATAAACTGCTTGTGTAAAAAATGCTGCATATATTTGCATATAGTTAGAAGGAAAGCCGCATCGCACCACCCAGCCGGGGCGGGAGGGATCCTTTCCAGATCCCCTCTCCCAAGTTTGCCCTCCCATCACGGGGGCAGCAGCAGGGTGTTTTGCCTTGGGTGCTGAAATGCCTTGAGTCACCCCTGTCTATTAACTTCTGTGAGTCTGCCAGCATTGGATACAACCCAAAGAAACCTGTGGCCCTGCAGTTGTTGGAGTCCAGCATGGACAATAGTCAGGGAAGAAAGAAGCTGTAGTCTAGCAACATCTGGAGGACCACAGGTGGTTATTATTATTATTATTAATTGAATTTATATGTCACCCGGGGGTCTCAGGGTGGTTCACAGAATAAAATCAAGATATAAAACCACAAAATAACTAATAAAAAAACAACAACAGCAACCTAATACTTCACCCCCCAAAAAACACATTTTAAAAGAGCATAGGATGTAAATCGGATCGACCAAAGGCCTGCTTAAAAAGGAATGTTTTTGTCTGGCACCTTAAAGTGTATAATGAAGGCACTAGGCGAACTTCCCTGGGGAGAGCATTCCACAGATGGGGAGTCACTGCAGAAAAGGCCTGTTCTCGTGTTGCCACCCTCCAGACCTCTGGAGGAGCAGGCACACAAAGAAGGGCCTCAGAAGGTGATCTCGGGGTCCGGGTAGGTTCATATGGAAAGAGGCGGTCCTTGAGGTATTGCGGTCCTGAGCCGTTTAAGGCTTTATAGATCAAAACAGGTTCCCCACTTCTGCTTTAAAGGACGTAACTCCCTAAATACCAGCATTTCTGGATCTGAAGGTGACTTGCAGAAAGGTACTCCTGCTCGCACAAGGCAGCCTTCTTGAATTCTAGCAGTCCCCTTCTCCTGCTGCAGCCAACTCTCCCTGCCCCAATTCCCTTATTCCAATTAATACTTTTTTGTCAGAGGACATTCTGGTATGCCCCTATTCCGACGCTTTGGACTAAAGATGTTTTGGTGCCCTCCAGATGTTTTGAACTACAGGGCTGGTGGTGGCTGCTCTCTACGGTTTGGTAGCATTGAGCAGCTCTGTTCAGCGCCTGCTCAAAACTCCAGTGATGTTGATTCCCTATCTATTTCTACCATTTGCCTCTAGCCTTCCTCCCTAGAGCTTCAGGATCACTTTGATGCTCTCAGCTTCTGGACATTTGCCAGCCTAGTTTACAACGTAGGTATGCATGGTATTGAGATTGCATTTGTTGCTTTTATCAATTATCTTCCCACAGAAATTGATGGAGGCAACTGTACCTTATTGATCCTGTTCCATCTTCCAGAGCATTTGTTGTCATTGATCAGGAGTTGTTGATGACACGAGACATAGTTCATATTTATGGGATCACTCTGAAGTGGTTCTACCTATTTCATGCTTGAAGATTTTAAAAGGTTATGATAGGTATTTCCTTATTGGTGTCTCTGGGTTTTCCTTATGGCAGCTGCAGCATTTTATTCTACTCAATAGTATATGAATATAATACAATATTTTAGCATTATATTATTATATTATATTATTATATTATATTATATTATATTATATTATATTATATTATATTATATTATACAGTGGTACCTCAGGTTAAGTAATTAATTTGTTCCGGAGGTCCGTTCTTAACCTGAAACTGTTCTTCATCTGAAGCACCACTTTAGCCAATGGGGCCTCCCGCTGCTGCTGCTGCACCGCCGGAGCACGATTTCTGTTCTCATCCTGAAGCAAAGTTCTTAACCTGAGGTACTATTTCTGGGTTAGCGGAGTCTGTAACCTGAAGCGTATGTAACTTGAAGCGTATGTAACCCGAGGTACCACTGTATTATATTTATTATATTATATTTTAGCATTTTATCTACTCAATATTATATGAATGAGTGGAATACTAGAATTCTGATTTAAATAGAGGGCAAATCCAATTTCCTTATGACATCACCTGGATTATACTAAAAAGGAGATGTAAAACATCATCTAGAAAGACCTAAATAGTAGGTACTTTGGGGAACTACTGTAGTATTAAGACTGTGATATACGAACTGGTTTAAATCTTGCCCTAACCCTGCTAATTAAGTAGCTATTGTCTCTCAGGCCTTTTCACCCAGAGATGGTAATACTGAAGTACACAAGGCCATAAAGGTTATTGAGATAATGAATGTGAATCTGGTCTGGAAGTCTAGTGCAAACCACGGTTTCCCAGTTTGGGCGGAATGGCAAATTATGGTTTGCCACAAACCATGAAATAACCCATTAAAGATGCAAGTCTATGCTCACTTACTCGAGGAAATTCCCAGTGAACAAAATAGGACTTCATCCCAATTAAACATGTAAAAGATCAGGATGTAATCAGAATGCACAATTGAAGGTAGGGCAAGCAGAGAAGAACAGAATATCAGGCACTAAAATATGGTGTATTCATGCCATTTATTAAATTTATGTGACCACCTTTAAAAAAATAGTCTCTGGATGGCTTACAAACAAGACAATATTAATCAATGAAAGACAGAAAACAACTTTCCCTTATAACAGAGACAGTATAACCAGTTTAAAACTCATATTAAAAGCACACTAAGCCACAGGCTTGTCATGCACCCCTTAACCTAGCCTACTGCACTCAGGTGCACATGGGGACATTATCCTGTTGTCTGGATTGAAGAAAGATTCAACTTCTGGTCCAGTCTCTACATGGAAGGTGAGGTGGTGCTGGGATCTTGTCCTTTGCCTCAGGCGGCAAAATGTCTTGGGCAATTTTGAGCTGTGATAAGTCAGTACTGATTGAATGACTAACATCAAGTGAATCACCAAATGCGGTCGTCATGGGGAGCCAGCACCACAAATGAAAAAAGCAGGGCTGAGACATGAGGAATCGAAGAGCGATTAGGTGGCACTGTCTCTCAAGCCATTCATTCACTAACCATTCACCAGCATTTGACTGCAGGAGGACAACAGTTGAGGCTGCTGGCATTGTGACTGCCGTTATCAAAATTAGTGAGACACTTGTTCAGCAGGCTGCATCCTCTTCTCACTGATTGAGATTTTTCCTGCTGTTATTCATGCTCTGATAACATCTCGTATAGATTACTTGCAATAGCAACAAAGAGTTTTGTTTCACCTTAAAGACTATCAATTTTTGTTATGCTATAAGGTTTCACAGACTACATTCCACTTTAGTTGGACGAACCACAGTTGACTCGTCCTTTCATGCCTGGATGCAGTGATATTTTCTTTTTGCCACAATAAATGAGCTTTATTTTTATTTTTCTGAGCTTCTACAAAAAGATGGGCAGTGTTAAAAAAATCTTGCCTCTTGACCCTAAAGATTTACCAGACATAAGATGGCAGGCTCTTGCCAAAGCTACTGCAGCTATTAGTGGAAGTTATGCTTACATTGTTGGAGCCCTGGGTTGTAGTTACTGTGATGAAACTAAAAAAGGTGATAAAAGACAACAGGCTAAAATTTTCTTTAGAAAATGGAAGAATTTGAATTCATTTTCATGCTTCATCTTTGGACACATTTGCTAGAACAATTTCATAAAGTTAGCAAGACACTCAGAACTTCACAAATTTCATTTGAGCACAGTTCACTGTTACAGTTTGTATCAAACACTCGGGCTAATTTTGATGAAATTTAACAGCAAGCCAAATTTACTCTATTGGATGTAGGGTACAAAACTGTCAAAAGAATACAAAGAATAAAAAAATAAAAAATGATGGGACAGCACCCAAAACCTTGGATGAACTTTCTGCAAGAGATAAGTTTAGGGAAAATTCATTTATCCCTGTCATGGATGCTCTTGAAGCCAACCTAGACAGAGGAGCAACAAGTGTACAGGAGTATAGCTGGCAATTTTTCATTTATGGTGAACCTGCAAGCAACCAGAGAAGAGATTCACAATGACGTTGAGATGTTGATGTATTCATAGGATGTTGACCTTAGTCTAGTTGATGAATTCTTGCACTTCCACCTGTACATCAAACAAGCTCACCCTGAAAAAGCAAATTTCAGCCACCTAGATATGTATCAAATAATATTCCAGGAGAAAATTTGGACAGCTGTTCCAAATGTGGAAACAATTATCAGACTGTTCCTGTGTTTAATGGTTACAAACTGTAATGGCAAAAGATAATGTTATAGACTAAAAAGGATAAAGAATGTTCTATGGTCAATAATGTGCTAGGATTGGTCGTGTGATCTAAGCATTTCACGGGTAGAAAACGATAAAACTGTGACTTACTGATTTTAATGATACAATTGATAAGTTTGCATCCAAAAGAGGTCAAAACATATTGCTCTGATTTTCTATATAGTGTAATGTTATAACATAGCTATGATTCCCCTATGAATGTTCTGTGTGGATATCTTCATTAATTCAATACTTTTGTAACCTGATTTAAGGTTATAAATTTATAAACAATCTTTTTATCAATGCTAAAATTTCTGCAATGCTCTACTTTGATTGAGTAGACAAAGAAGAGAACGAGGTTCTGTTTCTCATGATCATATGCTATTAAGTTTGGGCCTCCCAGGGTCTCCTAGCCCAGGGCTTCCAATTGCTTTAAACCTGGGAGCTCTAGGTAGCAAAATGTACTATTTTGTTACTTTCTTTTCTGGGTCTCCTGGGTATCAGTGAGTAGAACTAGGGTTGGCATATTTCAAACAGTGACAATCTGGTCAGAAAAGTTGTTGAAATTTTTTTTAGTTTTGCCCAAAGTTGTTGAGGGTTTTTTTTTTCAAAATTGCAAAAAAAAAAAAAAGCCATTTCTGAGCTTTTTTTAATGGAAATTTGGAAAAAATGGCACTGTCGACATGGGCTGCCATACATCCGGACATCTGTTGCTGACTGCACTATTCCAGATTTGTCCAGGAAATTCCAGGTGTATGGCAACCCTAATAGAGCACCTTTTTACTAGCTATGGCTGGTGCAACAGCTGCAGCCATTCCTGGATGGAGGTAGCTGAGCCAAAGTGGTTCAGGTATAGGTAACACTCAATCACATTATCACAAAGCAATCTGTGTAGGGCTACTCTGAAAGCTGATCTGGAAGCTGCAGCTGGTGCAAAAGGCAGCAGCCCAGCTATTTACCAAAGCTGGTTACTGATAGCATGGTGGCATAATTGCTGAAAAACCAGCACACACTTAATATGTTAGTGTTAGTTTATACATTCCTAAGCAAGTTGGGACCAGCCTACCCAAAGGGCCTCCTTTCTCCATATATTTTGGCCCATTACTTGAGATCTGCTGGAGAAGGATTGCTGACTTTCCTTTAGTGGTTCTCAACCTGTGGATCCCCAGATGTTGTTGGACTACAACTCCCATCATCCCTGAGCTCTGGCCTTGCTAGCTAGGGGTGATGGGAGTTGTGTCCCAAAACATCTGGGGACCCACAGGTTGAGAAAGGCTGCCGGGTGAGTTTAGAATATCTGTCTGGTGGCCACAGAGAACAGGGCACTCAGCGCAATAACACCTATATTGTGGACTCTGTTGCCCTTGTATACTGGGCAGGCATCCTTTGCGTCTAGTTTTAGAAACCAGCTTAAAACATGTTTTTTTCTATCACCCCCATCAATTTACTATGGTCAACAGGCCAGAAATAAGACCAAAAATAAAACCATACAATGCAACATAGTTTTAAGTACAGGGCAAAATACAAAATGAGGTACAGTGGTGCCTCGCAAGATGAAATTAATTCGTTCTGCGAGTTTTCTCGTCGTGCGAATTTTTCGTCTTGCGAAGCACGGTTTCCCATAGGAATGCATTGAAAATCAATTAATGCGTTCATATGGCCAAAAAAAGTCCAAACCAAGCCAAATTTGCAAACCCCTCCCCAACACCAAGTCCTTGAATTCCAAACACCCCAACCCAAAATCCAACCCCCCCCAAAAAAGTTTTAAAAGTTTAACTTACCAAATGGCTGCAAAAGAAGTTTTGGAAAAGCTTCAAAAATCACCAAAGTCTTCAAAAACCTCAAAAAAAGGCTACCACACCACGTGCTATGAGTTGCTCCTTGAAGTCAAGTCGCAACTGCACCTCTTCAAGCAATGCACCCTGGGTATTAACAGTTTTAAGAAAAAGGAAACAAACTTGCAAGACGTTTTCGTTTTTCGTCTTGCGAAGCAAGTCCATAGGGAAATTCGTCTTGCGAAGCAACTCAAAAAACGAAAAACTCTTTCGTCTTGCGAGGCATTCGTCTTGCGAGGTACCACTGTATAATACAAATGCCATCAGCTCAGATATATATATAAACAAGATGAGCAATGAACTAAAGAGCACTCCGAAAGATTTAATGTGTTTGCCTTCTCAATTGCTTTTGGGTCAGATATGGTGGGGTTTGTGCTCATAATGACCAGGGTGTGAAATCCATGGAACACGCTCTTTTATTTTATAATTTTTACACTGGAACGTGTCAGAAAATGATACCCAAACTACCAGGAAGGTTAGCTCAATGTTACAATAAAATACTTGCTGGGAGATAAAATCCCATTGGTAGTGGCCACATTTTTTATCAGGGGGCTTTGAGAACAAGGAGGTAATCAACCATCAGAAGGCAAACACATTAAATCTGTCCAGAGTAAAAGCCCTTTGATATTTAACTACCTACAATATAATTCAAATTATTCGTAAAACAAGTTACTAGCTGAAAAGTATCATCATAAGAAATACCTGAGGAACAAGATTATGAGGAAATACCTGAGGAACAAGGTTGCATATATGAAAGTCAAAAGGTCCTGAAAATAAACACATGGTTTTTGCTTTACCAAAGCTAATGTAGAGGCAAATCCCAAATGGATAAGGAATGAGGGTTACAGTCCAATGCTACAAATAAAACTTTTTTATTTACATATGCATTTATTTATGTGTTTATGTATTAGCTTATTTATTTACAAGCCACAGGGCAAATAGATTTTAAAAATACTTAATACATAAAATAATACAATTGTTAAAGTACGCAACAAATCGCTTAAAAAAACCCCTGCTAACAGAAGCATCAGCAGTCAGGGCTTTCCTTCTTCAGGTAGGTCTCTCTTCATCTCCTTCTGTTTCATCACCTGATGGAAAAGATTTTTGTTAACTAGCCAGTTAACACAATAAAGAAATGGAACTCATTTATACAGAATACAGTAAGTTAAAAATTGTAATTGCTAACTGTACTATACCCTTTTTTCCCTTTATCTTTTCTCCACTGTTTTAAATAACCCCCCCCCACTATTTATGGGTTGTATTTAAATTTAACAAATAAATAAATAAATAAGAAAGGGGAGGCAGCTCTATGTACAAGGACACCCCACACACACACACACCTGAAAAGGCCCTTTCCTGGGTCCCCACACTTTGTACCATATACATTTATTGCAACCACTGCAATAGCTATCATTAGTTAGGCACCAAAACAATCCTACATTTTTTTTATTTACACAAGCTTACCTTGTGACTCAGTTTTTTAATATATATTTTAACTTTTGATTTTATATTGACTTTATGTATACCACACTGATTTGGGGTTGCTGTTTTCTTAGTGGTATTGAAATGTAGGGATAGGTAAGTAAATAAAGCCAACCTTCAGGTTGTAATGCTCTTGAAATGCTACGAAAACTAGAATTCTAGCTGCAGTATAGGCAACTAAATATGTTTTTTTACACTTTCAGTTGTAAATACGTTTTCAGGTATTTCTATAGATGTATTATGTAACCACTACATGTGCATAGGTATATGTTTGCAACTGTTGTTGCATGTATATGTATGCAAAGTCACCCATCCTTACACTTATGTAATTGTTTCTCCTTATAACTATAGTTGTGTTTACATCCAGATGAAAATACCCATATTACACTGAATAGGAATGCCTTAACAACTCTTTGTATCATGATTTGATTGCCTAACATTGGGCAGAAACACGTTAATAGGTATAGACAAAAATAGTCACTAGATCAGTGGTTCTCAAACCATCCCCCCCCCCCATGCCACTTGAAAATTGCTTAAGGTCTTGGTGGACCACTTAAATTTTTTTTTGCCTGTTGTAGCAATTGTAATGTAATGAGCTAGATAGTATTATTTTTATTGTATTTTAATTGCTTCTGTAGGTCTGCCATATTTCAAACAGTGAAAATCCAGACAGAAAAGTTGAGCTTTGCCTCTGACTACAGAATGACATATGGCAACCCTAGCTTGACTTCTTTTGTATTTTATTGTAGTACAATTTGAATTCCGTAGAATACTATAGAATTCAAATTGTAAGTGTTCTTCACAAACATGCAATGGTTTGTAGACCACTGGTGCTCCACGGGCCGTAGTATGAGTACCCCTGTACTAAGGTTGCCATATTCCCAAAAGTTAAAATCCGATTTTCCCGGACATTCCACCGATTCAGCAAAAATCCACCCAGATGCCATTTTTCTGAGTGATTCCCGGATGTGTCCAGGAAAACCCAGATGTATGGCAGCCCTACCCTGCACCAGATCACAATTTAAATTTGAAATAGGGTACATCTATTACAATCCATAATAATTAAGTTCAGTTCAATTTATTGTGTCTAGTGAATAGCCATTGCACACATGAAAATAATAACAACAAGAATATAGCTACGAATAGTAGTTGACATTTCTATTCCCTGACCTTTACAGGATAAATATTTTCCCATTCCCCCTTTAAGTTGTATTACACAAATTTGTAAAGCCTTTGCAATAAATTTGGGTGTTCAATAGGATATATACCTCTCCACATCAGACAGCAAAAACAGGTCTTTGCAAGAGATGCTCTTCCCTTCTGTGATCTTAACAATGGATGGATGTAATTGTTTCTAAGATCATTATAAAAAGGGCATTGGAGGAGTACATGAGTTATGTCTTCTATAGACAGAGAGTTGCATGAGCAAACTCTATCCTTCTTAGGAACTCCTTTATGTTGGCCTGTCCAATATGCTAACGCAAGGGCATTTAGTCTTGCCTGAGTAAAGGCTACTACTCTCATTTCAACATTTGGCAAATCTACCAGATATCTTGGCAGGGATAGATACAATGGAATAAAAAAAAGCATACAATTTGTTTGATTGGCAGATCTTGATCTTAGCAGTTTGTGGTTGCATCTCAGTGTCTTTAAGCCTTTGGAGTATTAATTCTTTAGCTTTCTCAAAACTCTGCGTCACAAGAAAGGAGGCAGAGAGTCCCAACCTCATGGCAGCAGATTGCACTTCATGTTTCCGTGAGTCTGGGGTCATGTCTTCCAAAAATGTCATGAGGGATTCTGATACATGCTTAAAAATAGTTATTAACCGAAAAAGCAGAGCTAGACCTTGGCTTTAATGGGCATTACACCCAGTTACACATGGAGCTGTGCTATTTTTGTAGAGGTAGGGACTGGAAGTCTGCACAAAAAAATATTGCGCTCTCTCCAGTGAGTCTAAATTGGTCATGGCCCACAGTGGTGTTCCATATAACAACTTGGGCAACACCCTGGTCTTATAAAGTTCTAAAGAGAGCCAGTGTGGTGTAGTGGTTAAGAGCGGTAGTCTCGTAATCTGGGGAACGGGGTTCGCGTCTCCGCTCCTCCACATGCAGCTGCTGGGTGACCTTGGGCCAGTCACACTTCTCTGAAGTCTCTCAGCCCCACTCACCTCACAGAGTGTTTCTTGTGGGGGAGGAAGGGAAAGGAGAATTGTTAGCCGCTTTGAGACTCCTGAAGGGGAGTGAAAGGCGGGATATCAAATCCAAACTCCTCTTCTTCTAAAGTGGGCTGCACCAAGTTGCCCCCTTTTGTAAGGTGGAATCGTGGTAGTCCATTTAAAGCTCTACCAGCTAATAGGGTGCTTGATTGAACCTGTGCAGACCATTTTCCTATCCACTGAAAGACCACACAGAGATACTTGAATGAGAATACTTGCTCCAGTGTATTTCTATCGAGTGACCAATTGTAAGTTTTCTTAGATTTGCCGAATGTCATAACTTTTGTTTTTTGGTAATTTATAGTCAGATGCTCATTCTTGCAGTACAAGCTGAAAAAATAATAATAATAACAATGTTCTGCAATCAGTGACAACTATCACTAAAAATAAGCCTTCCACATTCAGATGAAGTATAGCTTTATTACATTGATCTCCTGCTTTTCTCCAGGAAGCTCAAGGCTACGTACCTGGTGTCATGCCCCAATCCAGTTTATCTTCACAGCAATCTTGTGAGGTTGGGTCAGGCTAAGAAAGAGTCACTCAGGGAACTTCAAGCAGAATGGAAATCAGGACCAGGGTCTTCCAAGTCTTAGCGCTCATTCACACGGGAGTTTAATGTGGACTTGAAACGGCTTGTGTCTCTTTTTCATTTATTCCTTTAGTTAGCGGTTTCCACAATGACATCATGTTCCACAATGTCACCCAAGTAGCAGCCTGAACTCCCCCCCCCCCACTAAATTCAGGTTTTCCTAATTGATGGATAACCCAATAAGGGGAAATATACCTATATATAACATCACATGTCACTCAACTGTGGACATACTGAAGCACATTGAGAGGATGCGTATTTTTACATGTATGGTGACATTTTGCTGGGTGCCATCTATTGCTGCACCCCAACCTGTCTTTTTCTACTGGTGGTTGCTGATTACATGTTCTTGGTAGTTTTGTTTTCAATAACAGCTATTTTGCACAGAACAGCTCTTACACAAATCAGCTGCATTAATAAACAAAAAACAAACAAAAAACTTACCCTATCAGGTACAGGAGATAGGAAAGCAAAAAGGAAAGGAAAGAAATGGCAGTCTGCCATGTGAGTGACTCCAAATCTTAGGCCTGGAGGACACACAATTTATTTATTAATTCATTTAACAGTGCAAATCTGGAATATTGGAAAGCTTGTGTTTTTTTAAAAAATATTTATATTTGCAGCCACCCACCAACACCTCAGGTTTCCTGACTTGAAGCAACACACACACTATTTTAGCTACACTTTTGTGCAAAATTTTTATACTGGAAACTTTATATTTCAATTTTTTTAAAAAAGATGCTGTCCACAATTTGTGTGCATGCCCAAAACTAGACCCCCGTTTTCCCAAACCTGCGGTGGGCAGAGAAGCACTAAGCGAAGGAAGGTGATTTCTGTCTCAGTGTTTCCCAGCCACACTAGTGGGCCATAGTTGATGGGATGGATTTGCACTGTGTGCAGTTGTCACCTTCCTTCGCTTAGTGCTTCCCTGCCCACCACAGGTTTGGGAAACCTGAGGTCTAGTTTTGGGCATGCACACAAATTGTGGACAGCATCTTTTGTTTTATTTTTAAAAGGCACGCATGGAAAGAGCAACCAACTCATGCCTTAATTATATTCCTGGATATTGTGCAGGATTTGATATGTTGCCTAGCACGTATTGCTTGTATTAACTACCATTACCTGTTACTATGTATTGCTTACAATTTGAACTGTAAGCTATATAACTGCTCTTAATTTTTTGTACCGTCTGGATATTGCACTGTGTATTTACATTATATTGTTTATTATGTTCTGTGTTGTAAACAGCTGTGCAGTCTTTTGAGGAAGGTGGTATGCAATTTTTTCATAGTAATAATATTCTGAAGTTGGCACTCCAAACCTTCCCCATGTCTGGCATGAGATAGCAGCAGGAGAACTCTCATTATGCCTTGATGGCGAGTTTCCTAAGGGCATGTAGATGTCCACTCTTGGGAGTCCACAGTGATGAGGTACATCCACCTGGAAGGATCAGGATCCTGCCCAATCTTGGAATTAAGGGAGGGGGGCTTAGGACTCTCCCCTCCCATCCGCCCCTGCTGCAGAAAAATACCATAACTGTAATATAATTAAACATGTGGCTACAACAGCGAAGTGAATTAAAGCTGAAGCGCAAAATGACACGTGATATGTATATATATATTTTTAAAACTTTTCATCCGGAAACTTGGGACTGAATCGAAGGGGGCCTCCTAAAGAACAGAGCTGTTGACAATAGTTACAACAGATTCTTTCTGAATTTTTTCGCACGGGGAAAGTTCTTCAAATTCTTCAGCGTAAAAGCGAAGTCGTGGAGCGCCATACACCGGAAAGACAAGAACCGGAACCGCCACTTCCTCTGTTCGACTCTCCAGCTTTATTAACTTTTTTTTATTTTTAAAACCAGGCTCGCACTTTCGGTTGTAAATGTACGTAGCCTTAGAAGAAGGCTGGGTCTGTTCCCCCGCCCGAGTTTATTCCTCCCAGCTCCCCCCACCCTATTTAATACCTTCCTCTTTTGCAGAATCACTTGAAAAAAACAGGGCTGGGGTTAGGAGCTTTCTAGTTTGAACTCGGTCCCCCAAGTTCCTTTATCTGAGTTCCTTCCAGTCTTGGGCAGCCACGGGAAGCTAAAAACATTTTTTTTGGGGGGGGGGGAGAGACCTACTGATTCCTTCACCTCACATTAGGTGTAGATGTTGCTGTCCCCTTTCCAACCCAAAAATTTTGGGAGAAGGGTTGACGAGAGCCTCCAATGTGCCGATAGTATTTTTTAAAGTTTCTGTAATATTTTTTATTATTTTAAAGACCCTTTCGCTCTTCCTCTCCTCCCCTTTCCGCGAGCTTTCTTTCACCCACCCCCCTTCCAAATATCCCTCACTGAATCGTTTGTAATTTTTTAAAATCTCCCTCCTTCAATCGTCTCCGCTTTGCACGCCTCCCTGTTTATTTTCCAGCTCTGAGACTGGCTCTCTTCCTCTCCCCCTACCCGCTCTTTTTTTTTTCTTTCTTCCCTTCAAAAAATAAAAAAAAAAACAATTTTGCACGGTGCCAAGCTTGGGAGTTTTCACATATTCGCCTCCCCTTTTCTGCAGCCTCCCTCCCCAGCCCCATCAGAGGAAATATTACAATGTTGCAAGCTGACGTAAGGACATTACAAGGAAAGGGCTACATTTCGGAGTGTTTATGAAAAGCCTCGGTACTGTACTGTCACCAGGGGGCATGCAATAGAATGCATTTCGTCCAACATTTGGAATAATGATCATTTAGCAACCACAACTACCACCACCAACACCACCAAAAAAAAAAAAAAAAAAAAATCGAGAGAGGGGGGGAAAAAGAGGGAGAGAGAGAGAGAGCTTCCAGTGCGCTTTGGAGTCCGCGCCAGACAGAGGAGCCATGCAGCCAAACTTTCGGGAACCCTTGGTTATTTTTCCTGACATTGCAAGCTCGCCCTTGAGGATCGCTTCTTGAAATCTCCGGGTTTTGTTTTGGCTTTTCTCTCGCCCCGATCCTGGGCGACCTCTCCCGCCGTCTCTAGGCCTGGCGGATCGGCTTCCCTTCGGCAACGGAGGAGAGGATCAGGAGAGGATCTACCTTAGCGGCGAGGGAGCTGCAGCGAGACGCCCTGCCTGCCTGCCTGCCTGCCCGCCCGCCTGCTCTGCCTGGGCTCTGCCTGCCTCTCTCTCTCTCCCTCCTCTCTCTCGCATACGCGCACGCAGAGCTCGCTTGCCTTGGGAGTCCAGTGTTGTTTTGAAGGGAGCTAACATGGCGACGGTGCCCGTCTATTGCATCTGTAGGCTGCCCTACGACGTAACCCGCTTCATGATCGAGTGCGACGCCTGCAAGGACTGGTTTCACGGCAGGTAACACAAAGCGATCGGGCCTCCCCCCCCCCTGCTCTGGGGCACACAGATCCCCCTCCTCTCGCTCGGGGGCCTTTCGCCTCTTCGGCTCGCTAGGGCACGAGAGAGCGAGAGCGAGCGAGAGATGGTGGCGGGGCTCGCAGGAGCTGCTGCTGCTGCTGCTGCTGCTCCTCCGTGCAGTTTTCCAACAGGCCTTTTTGGAGAAGAGGAGGAGGAGCCACTCTCCCCATTTCCCTCTCTTGTATTTTTTGTGTGTATGTGTGTGCGTTGTTTTGTTTTGTAAATTGTCGAGCCCGGGCGCACACAATGGCCTCCCCCCCCTCCCCACATCGGGGCTCTAGTGTCAAGGGGCTGCGGGTGGCGGCGGCGGCGGCGGCACTAGCGGGGGGAGGGAGAGCTATTGTCCTTTCCTCGGGGAGGGGAGGGCTTGGCTGGCTGCTAGCTGAGGAAGGGGTTTTTATTATTAAGGTTATTTTGTTCCTCGCTCGCCGCCAGCCCTGTGGGGGTCTTCATGGGCGGGTGGCCGAGGCGAAGATTTAAAGCTCGGTCCCCGCTCTCACTTTCTCCAGAGAAGGCATGGAGAGCGCGCGAGAGGGATATGAGGGCGGCGGGGGGGGGGGGCGGCGGACGGTGAAAGCGCTTCCACACGACGTCTGGCCAAGGAGGAAGGGTCCCTACGGGGCGGGCGGGAGCTCCTAGGTCTGTGAACCGGGCGGGGTGTGTGTGTGTGTTGGGGGGCGGGAGTCCGGCTTGTTGGCGAGCCCGCTCTCCCGCGCTGTCGGCGGCCCCGTCGCCTCGCGTCTTCCTGAGGGAAGGAGGGGCGGCCGGGGCTGGGGGTGTTTCCTCACACGCGGGCGAGAGAGGGCGAGCGGTGGCGGGGGTCCCGAGCGAGGCGGCTGAGGGAGAGAGAGAGAACGAGCCCGCGCTGCTGGGCTGGGCTTCCCCCGGGAGAGGAGCGGCCAGGCGGGCCAGTGTGGACTCGGGCGCAGCCGAGGAAGGGAATCCCCCGCCGTGCGGGCTGCAGAAGCCCAGAGCTGCTGGCGCCACTTTTGCTTGGGCGCGGAAGGAGCGAGCGAAACGCCAGGAGGACCCGCTCTCACCCTCCAGAGAGAGAGAGAGAGAGAGGCCGGGGGTGGCAGGAGGAGAGACGCTTCCTCTCCTCGGCGCCCGGAGGTAGCGCCGCGCTGGGCAGGCGCCCACAGCGGCTGCCACGTCCTCCTCCTGCACTTCGGGTGCCCCTCTTCTGCCTCCTGTCTTCTTTTAAAACATTCCATTTTAAGGGGTGGGAAATGGATCTGCCTCCTTGAAACACGCACACATACACCCCCCCCCACTCCCCGCCGCGGGCGGGATCCGTAGGAAAAGGACTGGGGTTGACTGCAGTTCTCTGGGATGGTGGTGGCAGCTTTGGCTGCGTCTCCTCAGCTACATGGAGATCGTTTCAATTCTCCCCGTCCTCGGTTGTTGTGGAATCTGAGACAATGTAACGCGCAGGTTGAACGGGGGGGGGGGCTGGAAACTTCCCCGGCCACCCGCTCCTATCTCTATCCATTTATCTGATATGTCAAGGGCGAGGGTAAAGAGCCCTCCCTCGCTCCCCCTTCCGTGGTGCTTCTTGTCTGCAATTGTCACTCCACGCCGAGTCGTCCTGATTGCCTGATGGCAGAGCTGATGGTCCTGATCTTTGTGTCTCTCCGTGGAGGGTTTGTGTGGCAGGAGGCGGGAGGCAGGCGCGTCGTTCATAAATAAATAAAGAATGAAATAAATGGGAGCTGCAGGCAGGAGGGGGAAAGACTTCAGCCAGATTCCCTCGGAGGTCAGTCTTCTCTTTGGGAGGATGGCGGGAGTGGGGGGGGGGGGAGAGAAACAAATCTTGCGGATATTACCTGAAGAATGCCTCAGATGGAAGCAAACGCCATTGAAATGTCTTGGGCTTCCTTGCTGTGGGTATGAGCTGCCAAAATTAAGCAATGGTTTTTTGTTTTTTAAATAATTGTTCTCACGTGCTGCTCTGTCTCATGCAGATCCGCAGGACTTGAAAATGTTTAATGTTGTCTGGGTTGTTTAAGCTCCGGGTAGGAATTTCGCAGCCTGAGCATGTGAAGGCTTCAGACTGGTTATTTTCCTTCTGACTTGCTGCTCTTGTGAAACTGAACTTCCCTTGCAACTTGGTTCCCGACAGCAGCAGAGAAGGTATTAAAGACAGGTTGGTCCTCTTGCTTACTCAGGTTCAAGGGCAAGGGGAATTGCCTCCCCACTGGGGAATACAGAAGTTTACTCTAAAGTAAGGACCAGTTAGGACAACTTTCCGATTGCTTTCTTGATGTTGCCTTTTGTTTTTGTTTTTTTAATTGGCTGTATTAATTTATCTGTCTTATGTTTTTGTCAAGCACTGTGTGCTGTGAATTGTGAAAAGGCCACTGCTGTAGAAATAAGTATATCGCTGTCAACAGAAAACTGATAAGAGGGAAGAACTTGATATGATCGACGTTGGAGCTCATTTAATAGTTAGAAAGCCGTTGTGGGGTAGTGGTTGGCATGTCTGAGATGGAGGGGGGAAACCCAAGTTCAAATCCTTTCCCATTAGCTCACTGGGACAGTCACAATCTTACTCAAAAAATGGTAACT